ACTTTAAAAATTTATTATTCAAAAACTACTTAGTAAAAATAAGAAAATTCTTTAATAAAGTTTATAGAATATGTTTTTAACAATATATTCTATATATAATATAGACTCCATATCATTAATATTTTATTAAATTATTTATAAAATAGTATTTACTCTTTTATTTTCTAAGCAAATTTGTCTAGAATATAGTTTAAAGAATAAATATATTTTATATTCATATATATAGTTCGTATAGTTGATTCTAGTGATCTGATTAGTTGATAAAATTCATCTAAAGTGATTAGCAAAAAGAGTTTTCATTAATACTAGACAAGAACTTTAGTACAACAATTCCAAGTTCCTACACTCTTCTATTATCATCAATTTTTTGTATGCTATCCAACTAGAATGCTAAAAATACAGAACTAATTTCTTCATTACCAATATTTTTAATCTTATCTAGTTTATCAAAAGGAATCTATTTAATTACTTCTTCATATGAAGTAGCTCTAAGTTGAAAGTCTTTCATAAAGTTATTAATATTCTTATTTCTACTTGTCAATTCTTAAATTGTATTATCAGAATTACATGTATTATATCATGTATTATTCATGTTATTTTCATTACAATATTCATATTTTCTATATCTAAAATTACTTTAATTTTTAAATAATTAGTTATTTATACAATTTTTAAGCTCTAATGTAAGTGATTTTTATATTTACTGACTAAATTAATATGAATAAAAAAGCTATTTAATGAGTAAATATTTATAAACATGAATTGCAGATTTTAAATACATAAATTAATAAATAATCTTTATACTTACTAACTAAATTATTATAAAATAAAAAGATCATATATTTTGTAAATGTTTATAAATATGAATTGCAGATTTAAATTATATAGATTAATAAATAATCTTTATACTCATAAACTAAATTATAATAAAATAAAAAGATTATTTAATGAATTGCTAAATTTTAAGTAACTTGATAATTAATCATAAAACTTACTCTCTAAAAGATTAAATAGTTTTGAGAATATTTAGGTTTCTAATTTAAGATAAATAATTTAATAACAACTAGCCTACTTCAAAATCCAATCAGAGTATTTATTCCAAATTAAATTCTACGCCAATTCCATATCTGTAATAAATAGCAGTTTTAAAAATTTTATTAGAATTATCTGCCTCAGCTGATTTCTAATAATATATAAATGCTTGATTTTTGTTTTTTTTTTAACTCCAATTCCATATTCGTAACAATAACCAAACCAGAATATTCCGTCTAGATTATTCATATCTGCAGATTTTTGATAATCAATAAAATTCAGTTAATTAAGAATGCTAGAGTGTTCTCAAACAACTCAATCATAGCTAAATTAATAGATCAGAAGATCAATCTTTAATTAGTGAAAAACAGCGAAAAATAATTTTCACTAATTAAAAACTGATCTTCCAATCTATTAATTTAGCTAGTAATGTCATATGATAAACCTAGTATCCTTTTGTTTAATTCTATAAATAAATAAAAAAAAAGTCATTAAATATTGAATATCAAGAAAAAATAGTTACTACTGTTATCAATTAATTACAGCTATAGTTACTTTAGATATAAAATTAATCTGTTGCAGTAACTTTTTTTTGCTAAAATATATTAGTTAATATTATGATCTCAGATATTATTACATCAGGCTGGTACAGATAAAAAAAATTAAAATATCGATATAATATAAACTTTTATACCAGGTATATCTGTCGATTACTCAGGTAACCTGCGAGTTCACCAATCGGGTAACCTGAGTAGTATTTTTTTGATTGAGAACAAACTTAAGGTACAAACACTAATGCACAAATACCAATTCACATTTTTAGTAAAAATGTGAATTGTATCTTACTAGTATTTGCGCATGTGATTTGCTTGTTCACATTTTGTGCACCTTCAGTACTTAAAATCAACTAATCAAATCACATTTTGCAAATACCACAGTTATTCAGCACTTCGTGCCTCATATTTGTCTTGCGAATTATTTCAATTAAAATGATATTTTTGCAATATCACGAGATGATCTACAAAAATAGTCAATTATAATGAAAGCCTGCTATGCTTGACTAGGATATTCATTTTTATGCAATCGTAATATTAAAGTATAATAGACATATCGTAAGTACAAATATATATATTAGATATATAAATCATGTTAATCATAAATTGAAATACAGTATGTATAATAATATAATATCGTAATCAAATTTCTAAATTGTAATACTATATTTCAATTTACGTTTTACATATCAGATATGTATATTTGTACTTATGATAAGTTCTTATATCTTTTATACTTATGTCTTTAATCCTATAAAAGAAAATCAATTTTATAAGTTATATTTACTATCTTTTTTTTTTGCAATGTGGAATATCGCCCAGGTTCAATTTTTGGTTAACCAATAAAAAGAGAGAAATGTAGAATTTCATTCTCTTAGAAGGAAGGCACCTTTTTGGGATGATGTCGCATAACAGATAAATAGACAATTTAATACAACATTTACAGGAAACCAATGCAATGATAGGTTTCAACGTTTGGTTTGAGAATTCAATGCACGTAACTTATTTTAGTTAATTATATGTATTAATTCGTCTACTAATATTATTCTATTTTTTGATTTACTAGTTAATGATGAAATATCGCAATAATAAAGGTGGTAAAAGCATCTTTTATAGAAGGTTGTATTTTGACGAATTTAGGACATTCTTTTGGTTGCAGCCAGGTAAGTTTTGTATTCATTTTAATTTTTTTTTTTTTTTTAACTTAAATTATTAAATAGTTGTACGATTTTTTTTTTTTTTTTTTTTTTAGATGATTCAAATGATCACGAGCACAGATTAAACATGTCACATAGACGTTTGAATCAGCAATTACCTCTACCTCCTCTACTACCTCCAG